CGCACGCGTCCCCCGGTCCCTGCGAGCCCTGGGCGCAGTGCACGCCGGCCCGCCCCTCCCCCGCGCCGACTGCACGCGCCCCCGCCCACGGGCTCAGCTGCTCGCGCGCGCCGGGGAGGATGAGGATGAGCGGGGTGGGCTAGGGAGGACCGAGGGAGGGCCGCGAGGCTGAGGGGGGCGCGAAGCGGGAGGGGAGGGTCACGGAGACCGAGGTTTCAGCCGCCCTGTGGTGGTCGCCGCCGCCGGCCGGGCAGCGCCTCACGGGGCGGGCTATGCTCGGCTCTCGCGGCGACGCTCGCTGCTGTTGCTGCTGCCGGCGGCCGCTCTCTGCAGCCGCGCTCCATGTCCCCCGGCTTGGCGCGAGCCCCGGCAGCAGCGGCAACGGCGGCGGCTGCTGCAGGGGCCGAGGCGGCGGCTCCACATCGCGCACCGCGCAGCCCAGGAGCGCCTGCCTGCCTGCCTTCCCGGCTCCTCTAGCTCACCGGCTGGCCGCACCCCGCGCCGGGCTTCCGGCCGCGCCCCTCTCCCCGCCCCTCGGCCGGCGCCTGACGCGCTGGGGCACCTGTTCGCTGCACCCGCGCGGGATTCGCCGGCTCGCGGCTTTCCTCAGCGGCGCCCAGGTGGCGCCGGCCGCCTTTAACCCCTACGTTGCCTCACGCGAGGGGTCCCGGGGTTGCGCGCTCCGCCTGTGGAGACGCCTGGCGCACCCTTAAAGGCCCGGGCGCCCCTGGGACACAACGACGCCCCCCAGCCTCGAACCCATTTGCGTCCAATTCCGCATCAGCCCGGTCTGTGTCTCGAATGGTGCCACGCACCTCCCCCCCCCGCACGCGCGCGCGCGCGCGCGCTCACCTTCAGGTGAGGCCTCGCCCCAACCCTTACTTTTCCATTCAGCCCCGCCCCCATCCTCGTTTTCACCTCGGAATGTGGCCACGCCCCTCCTTGCGCTCTCACCTCAGGGTGTGGTCTCGTCCTAGCCACCAGTTCTCACTTCAAATGGAACTCAGCCCGTCCCCCGCCTCGTTCGCACCTCTGGCCAAGGCCCCGCCCCCAGCCTCGCTTCCACTGTGGGCTGGAGCGAGGCACAGTCCTGTGGCCTGTCTCATAGTTGATATGTGGGTCGAAGAGGCTGAAGCCAAGCCTATTAAGCCAGAAAGCTAAGCCGCGAGAGTGTTGCAGTCACGAAATTTCGATCTGGGCCCCTGCGAGAGCTAAGCAGTCAGGAGAGGGAGCCCTAGAGAGCAGGAGGAGGCCCGACATCTTAATGCCTGTGACTCAGGGATATGAAGGACCAGATGCTTCTTCCATCAGCAGCCAGAAAGAGTTCTGTGTAGAAATAACGGGAAGACTGCTCAGAATGGGGAATAGGAAACAAAAGAATCTCCTCAGTAATAACTACCATTTATTTGGCACTGTGTGCATGTCCTGCATTAAAAAGCTTTATATTAAAAGCTTTATATACATTATTTTAATCTCACAAGGACTTTTTAAAGTGCTTTCATTCTTTGTTTTACATGGAAAGAAACTCGGGCTTGAGATTTCTGGCCTGGGCAGACCAAGACTCCCAGTAAATCCTACTTTCTTAACGTGTAACAGACCTTGAGGAAGAGAAGTGGTCATTTATGACCATGCTGGATAGATTTAGTGTCAACTTGACACACCAGGGTTGAGGGAGCCTCAATTGGGGAATTGCCTCCATTGGACTGGCCTGTGGCCATGTCCATGGGGCACCTTCTTGATTGTTGAGTGATGTGGGCAGGCCTGTACAGGTGGGCCTATGTTGCATAAGAAAGCAGGCTGAGCAGGGGCCTGGGGAGCAAGCCAGTAAGCAGCATTCCTCCATGGCCTGTGCTCCAGCTCCTGCCTCCACGTTCCTGCCCTGAGTTCCTACCTTGGGCTCCCTGACGAACTGTGACCTGGGAGATGTAAGCTAAATAAATCCTTTCCTCCCCAAGTTGGTATTGGCCAGAGTATTTTGTCACAGCAATGAAGAAACTAGGACAATGACCAAGATGGATTGACTTAGTACCAAGACCATGCTTCCTGCAGTGGTCACAAGGACAAGTCTACAGGGTGACTTCCAGGCTGTTCTTTGTATTGATTCTGTGTGCCTCTTGATTCCCAGAAACCATCCTGTGAGAAGCCAGGAGTGGTGCTGATTATTTTTCCAACCTCGATGACAACCTATTTTTTAGTTAGATCACACTTTGGCTCATACTTTTCATCTCAGGGAAATGGAAATTTTAGGACACCAGGAAGTCGAAATGTTTCTCACGGGTTTGCAACCTTATCTACTCACTCCAGATAGGGAGCCAGTGACAGATCAAAGGAAGGATATCACCAAAGTCCAATTTGGGGAACCAATGACTTTTATTGGGATTACTTAAGGGTTGTGGGTGAGGGATTACTTACAGGAGCAGAAATGACTCAAAACAGCTGTATCACCTAAAGCCCATCCCAGCATGGGTGACAGCTCAGGAAAGCAGGAAGCCTGGAGCATACCGCACAACTTGCAAGCAGCTGTGCAGGTTGGAGACTGTCTCTTCCATGCAGCCCAGTCAGTCTGAGCCTCTTCCAGGCAGCATGGTTGGTCTGGGGGTGTCTCTCAGTAGTTCTTGAGACTACAGGATAGAATGTTTCACCTCCTTTTAGAACATCCTATTTTTTTTAATTTTGTTTTTATTTTATATGCATGTGTATGTATTCATATGTAGGTATGTACATGTGAGTGCAGGTAGCTATGGAGGCCAGAAGGGTGTCAGGTCCAGATAGAGCTGGAATTATAGGTAGTTGTGAGTATCCTGACATGGGTGCTGGGAACTGAACTCCGGTTCTTTGGAAGAGCACTGAGCTTTCTGTCCAGCCCGGACGTCAACCTCCTGTGTCTTAATGAACTTCCTTCCCAGATGGAGTGTTTATCTCAGAGGAAACTGCTATACAACAATGATCAGGTGTGACAATCTACTCACAGGCAGGAATCCAAAAGGTCCCAAGTCTCAGGGCTGGGTTTGGAAAGGAGACAACCGCTTGGTTGGTATTGTTCAAGCCATGGCTATTTCCCACTACACACACCATGGTCAGAAATTTGGGCTCCAGCCAGTTCCAGATGCAGGTCGCTTTTGTCAGGTTTGAATCATGGAAAGATAAATGTCTCCCACATCTCTATGGAGATACACATGGAGAACAAATGGGATTCCTAAGCAAAAGGAGCTCGAACTATCTGCTTTTCCTCAAAGTAAACAGACACCCCAGACAGACTGGCTTGCTGACCTTAAACTCAGTAGATTTAACTTAGTTATTACTATGAAGATAAACCATTCAAGTGATGACCCTGACTTCTAGCTTTTTGGGTTTAGTTTAGTTTTGTTTTGTTGAGACAGGGTCTCATGTAGCCCAGGCTGGCTGAAAACTTGCTATAAGATGACTTTGATCTTGGGATCCTTTTGCTTTCACCACTGGAGTGCTAGCATCACAGTTGTAAATCTAGGTGGAAATGATCATTTCTTACTAAAGCTTGGCCATGAGTACTATATTCCTGACAATGCCTGAAAGACCAGGTGAAGAATGGAGAACTAGTCAGAATAATACTTCTTAAACTATTTGGTCTCAGAATCACTTTATATTCTGAAAAATTGAGGACATTAAAAATATTATTTAACATAGGTTTAGATATTAGTGTTTATCATCAGAAATTGAAATGTCAAATGTTTTATTTAATTTCTTAAAAATACTTATAATAGGGGCTGGAGAGTTTGCTCAGTGGTTAGGAATACTGGTTGCTCTTGCAGAGGACCCAGGTTCAGTTCCCAGCACCTGTACGGCAGCTAACAACCATTTGTAACTCCAGTTCTAGGGGAATTTAATGCCCTCTTCTGACCTCAGCAGGAATTGTAAGATACAAGTGGACTTACATGTTGGCAATACATTCATATACCTAAAATAAAAATAAAAATATTTATAATAAACCTGCTACATGTTATCAAAACGTATTTTATGAATATGATATATTCCCAAATTCTAAAAAACTAATGAGAAGAGTGGCATTATTTTTCATTTTGCAAATACCTGTAATGTCTACTTTAACATAAAACTGGCTTCTTAAATCTACTCCATTTAATGTATGTCCTAGTTTGTTCTTCATTGCTGTGACAAAATACTCTGACCAATACCAACTTGGGGAGGAAAGGGTTTATTCAGCTTACATCTCCCAGGTTGCAGTTCACCAGGGAGCCCAAGGTAGGAACTCAGGGCAGGAACCTGGAAGCAGGAGCTGGAGCACAGGCCATGGAGGAATGCTGCTTACTGGCTTGCTACCCTGGCCCCAGCTCAGCTTGCTCTCTTATCCAGCACAGACCCACCTGCCCAGGGGTGGCACCACCCACAGTGGGCTGGACCCTCCCATATCACTCAACAATCAAGAAAATGCCCCACAGACATGGCCACAGGCCAGTCCAATGGAGGCAATTCCCCAATTGAGGCTCCCTCAACCCAGGTGTGTCAAGTTGACACTAAAGCTAGATAGCACAACCACTATACCCAGTTTTTGTTATAATAACAAATTTAACACAGTACCCCTGTCTTAATTCATGCTAGGATATCAGTAGTGCTACCCATGTTGTTTTTGCACCATCAGTATAAACACCACAGCTTAAAAAAAATCACACAATTAGCATTATAAAATTAGCTTTATAATTACTAAATAAAATGAGAATCACTATTACTATAATTGTGGAAGTAGTTTTAAATAGCCCCTGAAAGGCTCTTTGAGACCTTCTGTGGTTGGTGGTACCGCATTTTGAAAATGTCTGATTGGAGCCATTCAGGACTACTAGGT